TGCACAAAAGAGACGAGGCAAAATGATTCAAGAAAGATAAATTAAACAATGAACCATAGTTCACGAGCTGAAAGATAAACTGTCAATGATTAGAAGCTATGTAATACGCATTTATACCTTCGAGTTTGGCTCAGCTTCCTGGGTACAAAAAGCTCTCAAGCAATACGCAATAGGTAACATGGGAGAAGATGGAGAACCCTCTTTATTTGGCCCATGATGTAACACACCCTGCTTTCATACATATGAAATTTGGTCAGAAATTATACAAGCAATTAATGAACTATTAACTCTGAAGGTACTAAGACATATACCAATATAGAGATTGCTTCGGACAGAAAACAAATGCACTCGGTTATATGTTCAGTTCCAGATGTCCTTGTCATTTGTGCTTTCCATATCAAGATTCTTGCTCTCTCTATATGCATATCCTCAGTGACATAAACATCCTTCAAAAGGATATCTGTTATCTTGATTCGAGTTTGTTGACCTAGATTTGACCTTAAAGGAAGCACTCTATCATAGGCAAGAAGCTCCTGCAAGCATTTACAGAAAAGAGAAATGAAAAAACAATCAGTGTCACAAATTTTACATACAGGTAAAGTACATCCACCGATAAAAAAAAATAAAAGGGAATTTCTAGTAGCATGCCCCTTCAAGCTAGGACATGCGCAAACTTTTATTCAAACATTAACTGAAAGGTTGTTAGGATCCCAACCTGCTCTAGGATTTTTCCGATACCACGCTTTGACTTTTTTTGAGAAGATGATAACAATGAGTACAAAGTTGTACAAGAATCTGCCGCATCCAGATCCGTGTGACATTCCCGTTCTATCTGTTGATAGGACACACTCAGATACTTGTAGTTCAATTTTTTTTATAAAGGTACTTGATCAAAAATTTACCTTAACCCATTGCTTTACAATTGCCTCAGGGCCTGGTAACCTTCTAATCAGATGTTCAGCTGACAACCAATTTTGTAGAATATGAACAATATTCTGTCTAATCTTATGTCTGCTACATTTCTGGAGTATATCCAGGTAGAATGCACACCTATTACATGCTTCGCCCACAAAATCCATAATGGCATCTTCTGACATGTCATTATCAGATGAACTAGACTGATTTACAAACATCTGACAATGTAGCTCAACACATCTCCATGATGCCTTAGAGCACAGCTTGAGTGCCTCACAAGCCTGCAAAGTAGAACACTTACTCTATGAAATGTGCTATGAGGAAAACAAGAAGAAGAATATATAAAGCAGAAGCAGATTTGTTCTAGTCTTGTTTGCATAAAAAATCTATAAGACGCCAAAAACCGTGTACTCCACCTTGTTTAGCTCCTTATTTCTGTACAAAACGATACCAATATTGTAAAGCGTCGCAATTAGATACTTGAGTTCTTGAGATCGGATCCATGGACTGGCAATTACATCCTCAACTAGATGGGCACTGATCTGAAAAGGAAGATGTTCGATTACTAAGTTAAATTGTTCGATCACATGTTCAGGAACTTGAACAATAAATTTGCATGCATTTCACATAAATACCAAACCTGCAATTTAAGCTGGGTTTTCAATGAGACAATGAAAGCACCCATAGCCACGTTTAACAAAGCTTTGTTATTGTCAGTTTCGCTATCTCCCTTGTCAGACGTGCATCTATGAAGTGGGCACAAGAGATGTGAGAAATTCATTCAACCCACAAAAGAAGATTTCGCAAAAGAATTGATATTGTTTCCACTTTCTAAGTGCACTGAAAATTTAGACATCATCCCACCTGCCAAAAATCTGGTAGCAAAATGATGCATTTACAGTTGCATAAAACCAAAAACTTAAAAGAACTATCTTCTGAAATCCACCCAAATATATTTAAGTTATTTTCACTATGTGACAAGCAAAACAATTTCTGATGAAGAGCACGACTCTGACTAAAAGCTACAGAATATAGCATAAGGGACAGATAATGATCACCTTACCTCTGAAGGAAGAGACAGCCATCACAAAATTGGAGAAAGGCATCGTGAATAGTAGTTAGATGAGCAGAAGCGCAGGACATTTCTGTCTCCAGCACAATCTTTCTTTTCACAGAATATATCAAGTCTGCAAGTGGTTGGCACAAGAACTGCAAGGCATCTAAGTATTGTGGCCAACAAGTCTTCTTGTTCTTGTCTGTACAGCTACCATGTGTTTTATTGTTGTAGTTTTTATGCCCACCAATCAATGATGAACCAGTCTGATTGCCCACATCACCTGAGTAACTATCAACCAAGCCGAGTAAAGAAACTAAGCTTTGCCATCTAGCATCATCATCAAACATTGCTTGAATCTTCCAATCATCTGTGGAATCTTTAACCTTACTTTCTCCGAGCTTGGAATCGCAAACCGTGATGGACAGCCCGGTTGAATACAGTCTAAGAACCAGATTAAGTTGGGGTATTGCCTGCCAAGCAGTCAATTTATAAATTAACTCATACACCAAGATACTTCATTATTAAGTTGAGGCAAGTTTACATGCCAAGGAGAGTAAAACTACCTCTAAGAAAATAGCTGCCATCTCATTCAACTTTTTTGAAACTTTTGCACAGTACATGTCTCCTGCTGCTCGAAACTTGTGAGCGCAATAAGCGACTAGGTCAACAAACTCCATTAAATTCTCATTACTTTCATCCTGAAAAAAGGAGCAGTGTTATAAGGCATTACAAGTTAGTGGTAGAAAATCAACTGAGAAGCTAACAGGAACCTAAAGTCATCCAATCTAGCAACAGATAAAGGAGCAGGTGACACCAAAATATATGGAAAATTTTGTTGCGGATATTGTTACTCGATGTACACAAGACAATAGATAATTAAGATGCAAGGGATTTGTGCAAACCTCAAATTGGCAAGTTAAGCTGCGCAACAAAGACATTGAAATGTCAATGGTCACTGACATTTTTTTATCCTTAAATCTGAACAGAACAGAAAGCACCTCGCGAGCAAACTGGAAATGGGCATTGGATGTTATCCTCTATTAGATGACAGCATATAAAAGAAAAGAAGCTGCAAGAAGGGAAGACATCAAAGGGCAAGGGTCACCTTATAAATTCGATCTTTTGAGAATGCAGATTTATAGTGTTCCTTCACAGTTAAGTCGCAGAAAGATATCACTAAATCCCCATCAAAACGCTCAGCTTCTCTAACGAGAGAAACAGAACATTTACCCAAATTTGTCACTATCGCTCTGTGAAACTTCTCATACGCCTTAGCATCTAAGACCCTGCACAGTACCAAATTTTCAGGATGTGCTAGCTCTCGAAAGGAAAATTAAATTCCCTGGTGCAAAATTGAAGCAGCATTGGTCTACTATAATCAAACAAGAAAGTTAAAAAACCCTACACTGACCTAAACCAGCCTCCGACCTCCTCGAGCAAAAGAAGAACTTTCCGATACCGCTTATCATCTAATTGCTGGCCCATTGCCACAGCCCTAAAGATGGCCGCCACGGCATCAACAACAACCAAAGCCATATCCGCCTCTCCGTCCTGAACCTCCGGCAACAACCGGCAATTCCGGGATTTGCTATCTGAGCCTCTTAGCTTCTCCAGAACCTTAAACGCTTCAGAATACATATTCTCATAGAAACCCCAAACATCGAGACAATAAACCATCCGTAGCCTCTGAGATTGAACGGTATGAGGCTTACAAGCTAATTGAGCAGAGACCAATTCTAAACAATCCAAGCAAAGTTCATAAGCACGGAACAGATCTAAGGCTGATTCACGAGCTTCCTTGTCAGACTTGGCGACGGAGAGGCGTTTCGGTAGGAGCGAGATCGATTTGTTGAGGAAAGGAAGGAATTGCTTAGCTAGGGCTCGAATGGTGGTTGCTCGGTCTTGTTTTTTCCGGGAAGTGGATAGAGTAGAGAAAGGTTTAAGGTAATCGGAGAAGGAAGAGAAGATATCATCACCGGCGTCGGAAGATTCGATGAGAGAGAGAAGACGGAGGTCGTCAGTGGACGCCATTGATTTCGAAATTTTTGAGAATTCCCGCTAATTGAAGAAGATGCCCATTTTCTAGGTTTTACAATTTACACTATGCTCTCTCTCTCTCTTTCTCTCTCTTCTAATTTCAAAATCTCATTTGTTGATTCACATTTTGACTTTACTGGTAGAGTGTAGTTTTACCATTTGCAGAATCGTAGTGAAGAATATGAGAATTCTAAACCGTTTAGTGTAAATTTTATAACGAATTTAGAACCCAAAACCTTCTAGAGATGTTCTTTCGCGGTCTCCATTGGGCTCGTATATGATTTTTAAAGCCCATTTTGACAAGGCCCTTTCTGTTTAAGCAGGTTTGCAATTGCAATGGACTAATTAATCATTTTTTTAAATCATAGATAATAATTTGTATGTTGGTTGGTATCATTGCATACTCAATTCTGAATGATAATTATTTTTTTATATAATTTGAGGAAAAAAAAAAAAAAATTATTTTTTATATAATTTGTGAGAAACATATATTTTTAAGTGATTTAGTTAAACTATAAAATCTACAAATATAAGCAAAAAAAAAAAAAAAGGATTTATTATTCCGCTCAAATCAAACAGTTAGTAACCTTTTTTTTGAACATATACATTTTAGTGGTTTGTGTTAATATCGCGTTGTTATATGATATCACAACCTGATTTGAAATCTGCATAATACATTTTTTTGCGGTGAGGTTGGTCCATACACAAAAGTAGTTTCAGAATTGTGGTGATAGTCTTACCATGTTTCCATGACATGAGAGTGTTGGACACCTTTGTATCCATAGCAAATATCTGCTATTTTGTAGCTAAGTTTAATATGAGCATATAGTTTATACATAGTTTTATACAAATTTTTCAATATCATATATAATAATACATAATACATTTCAAAAGCTTAAGAATAGTTGAAATATATTCAATATCTGCCTATCTGGTCACAGTTTTTGTATTTATGTAAATGTTTTATTATATGTTTAAAATCATGTAAATATTTTGTTGAAATAGTAAATAGTAGTATATACGTGCGTTTAATTTCGTTTTTCTCAAACCAAACCAAACCAAGTTGAATATCTACCCACCAAAATGAAACAAACTAACCCAACCCAAAGAAAATTTTAGCTACTGCCTAAAAATCAAACCACAATGTAAAACTAACCGAACTAAACCGAATCCAAATCCGAAAATGGTAAAAAACTGAACCATGCGGATTAAAGATTACAAGGTTCCCAACCAATCATTTGTTTTTCTCAAGAGCTTTCTTTCTCCACTTCTCTTTCTCAACAAAATCAGCATCCAAAAACCTCGACACAAACTCCCAAACCTTAAAAACATCTTCAAAATTCGTCATAAATCCTCCTAACCTAACACTCACCACTGACAATCTCAAACTCATAGCTTCCTCACTTCTTCTCTTGTTTCCAATCCTAATCTTATGCAAATACGCACATCGCAAACCAATCTTTTCCCTCTCCGCGAGCCTCTCCACCATCAAAGGATCGACTTTTTCGCCTTGCCAATCGAAAATATTGAACGAAATCGACGGTCCACGGCTCGGTTTCGTCTTTGGTCCGTAGATTTTGACCAGAGGCATCTCTGTTTGATGATAACCTGGATGTTGGAGAGTCCTCAAGGCTCGTAGTAACCATAAAGTCAACGACTTTGACCTTCTACTGATTAGTATTAGTCCTAGAGAATCTGCGTGATCTAGTCCTCGAAACTCAATCATTGCTTTATCTTGTTCACTCGATGATTCGATTTCAACTATCTCAGAGCCAGAAGTAGAAGCAGCCTTGTGGTCCTCGTGGTCCACAGGGGTAATCTCGTCATATCCTGCTTGATACTCTGTTTTCCATTTCCAAGATGGCTCTGCTTTTACTACCGTGAGATTCGACGGATTCGTTGGTTCTTCCGACAAAGCCGAAGAGCTAGATTTCTTAACGAACAAGCAACCAAAACCAGAAGGATCATCTTGACCTAAAACCTCTGTGAAAGAACAGATGAGAAAATCTGGTTGGAACAGAGAAAGCCCTAAAGTCTCCATGTCTTTAGAACCTAAAGCAGAGGTGTCAATCAACACATGCCAATCGTTTTCGTGAGCTAAACTCATCCATGAGTAAGAATACGAAGCTCCTGTGACCAGGGATTGAAGTGGAAACACAAAGAGTCCTCTTTTACTACCTCTTCTCTTACTTATCCTGATTCTCCTCTTCAGTTTCTCCGAGAGAATCTCAGTGCTCGGCCATGAAAACTCAGCCGATTCGGGTTTTACACCCTTTTTCTCTGAGATTCTGATCATTTCTTCAACTGCTTCGTCTTCGTAGTTATAAACTGTGAGAAGATTGGGATTTGTTTTGAAAGAGTAGAGTTCTGCTACAATCTTGAAAGCAGAGGAACGGTCTTGAGTTAGAATCATGTGATATTCTGATTCTTCAAGATTCATAAAACTCGTGATTCTCTTCCTCATCCTTGACTGAAACCGAGATTCTCCTTCGAATGACAACAGTTCTTTACCTGAGCTCACTTGCTTGTAAGACAAGGTAAAGAGAGAATCGGATTCTAATTCCGAGATTTCTCGAAACTGAGAGTAAGAGAACAATGGTTGTTGTTGACCAAACACGTGGGAAGAGGATGAGAGGTTTTCGTACTCGGTAGATCGGAGATGATCGGCTTGATTCGTCTGCAAGTAATCAGGAAAAGCTGTGATGAGATCGTAGAAAGATGTACGGAGACGAGGGAGAGATTCTTGACTCGTGAATTTGGTTTCTCTGGTTAGGAATGAAGTTCCTGTTGTGATTACTGAGAACTCAAGCTCTTCTTGTTTCTCAGACATGGAATGAGATGAGAATGGTGATGAACAACAGCCATTGAAGCAAGTTTCTGAAGCTTCTTGTATGAAGTGTGAATTCATCTTTCTTTTTTTTCTCTCCCTCTCTCCTATTCCTCTGTTTTTTTGTCTGGAGAAAAGGTGTGACTTTGTGAGTTGTGAGGACAATGAAGTCAATGAGATTAAAAAAAAAGTGAAAATTTGGGTCCTTAAAAAAGTATTGTTGTTGTAATACAAATGAATGGTCAAATAAAAAGAAAAGTTGTTGTTTTTAGGAGGAAAGGGAACTCATACCAAATTTTGCTTCTCTTCAATAGTTGAACCAAAATTTTTTTAGACTTAAATTTCGTTGATGAATAGTAGTCAATTATATATTTTTTTAAAAAAATAACATTAATGTATGGAAAGAATATTATAGGCTCACGTTTGATAGTTGAACAGAGCTGACTTCTCTATTATATGGGTCTTATGTTATTTCGATTTGATTAGTAGTCGTAATGAGAATTGTAATATATGTTGGTATAATCCAAAAAAGAAGTCTGTTAAAAAAAAAACATTCAATCAAGAGATTTATTAGTTTGTGAATTTAAAATTGGCCAGATGTTTATTGACCAATGACCACTAAAATTATATCTAGGTAATAGGGTCCACCGGAGAAGATTTCTTGCCCTAATTTTGTTCTCTTTCTTGCCCATTTGTTTATGATATCAGAGGGATGAGGATACGATCGAATTTAGTTACAGCACGCAGTCAAATATTAATATATTAAGCTCGTTTAATTACCGTATTAATGATAAATTTAAATATGAATAATCAGGAAACGATGATTGAGTTACAATCTTGTAACAGAAAGTTCTATTTATTTATGTTCAACGGGACTATGTTGATGAGAAAGTGGATGGCAATTTTTTCATGCACGTAGAAGTAGAACTTCGAAGGCGACGCGCTTTGGACTTGGTCAAATACATTTTCTCATATCGTGTTTACATTACACTTTAATCATTAATGTCTTTACACTTATCACGATCAAACATCTAATGTATGTGTGTGCGTTTATGCATATTTTACGTGTCCACATATATATCATCCACTCCTGACTCCACTACCATGGATGTGTCGATGTTGGGTGGTACAAATTGCTTTTTTTTATATAGTGTTTGATTAAATATAGCAAATATAACTAAAATTTGTATATATATATATATATATATATATATATATATATACTAGTGGTTTTGTGTTAGTTTTGCATTTTCAATTGGATTAAAATAATTACATTTTCATAATGCATTGCATATTATTGATAAGAAACAAAAAGTGACTTCGGGAAACAAAAATCTTACGATAATGAACAAATATGTCACATCTTTAAAGCAAAATATGTCACATCATATATCAAGATTTATGGTTGCATAATAATAAATCAAGTTTATGAAATTTGAATCTACTAACAGATTGTACAATTGAATGTTGCTTCACTAAAACAACTTGTTCATGATTCGGATAACAAAACTTTGAAACTTTTGGTTACATATTTTCAGAGACATAAAAGAGTTCAGGAAGGAGGAGAACACCAGCCATTCTGAGGATGTGATCGATATCGTAATCAAGTTTGAACAATCAATTCTTAAACAACGCAGCTCTGTCCTTAATTATTGTTACGTAGACATATGTATGTATATTTTGGTCAACTATGTACGGAGACTTAAAATTATGAATCATGAGACAAAATTGTGTGGAGACTAGTCTATCTATGTATAAAAAAGTAGTATATCTTTAAAAAAAATATGATAACAAAAATAACAAAAAAGTGATAAAGAAAACAATTGCTAGTGGCGACTTTCATTTTCAACGAACCAAATCACAAGTTTATAATGATTTATATGTTTTTGGCGTTATTATTATCCGTGTGGCATCCACTATAGTCACAACAAAATAAACAGAAAAACCAAGAAAAAAAGTAGAAAGCGAGGAAATTTCTGGAAAAAAAAAAACAGTTTTGTTACCTTTCGGAAATCGGAATATGATATTTCTTAGAAAAAATCATCAAAATACGAAAATAATTAGCTGATATGATGAAATATCAAAGACATAATTTTTTTGACCGATTTAGAAAGTGGAAGGAAAGTAGGAGCCGAGGTACATAGCGCAATAATGTCTTGTGACCAATTTGTATTAATTTTGCCTAAAGAGCAGGCAAATGGTCTTTTGATGTGTGACACTGAAGCTTTTACTCAAAGTTCCCTATTTATTTTATAATTGACATCTAATAGATTGTGTTTAATTTGTGAACTTATTTAGAAATGAAGTAGTTTTTTTGTCTGAATTTCCTCAGGCAAAAAAAAAAAATTACAACAGAAAACGAGTAGGTAGTTGAAAAGAAAACAAGTAAAAAAATACAAAAAACAAAATCGGTTGATGACTTTTAAAATATATATATATATATATATATTTAATTTGGGTTTTATATATACCTCGTTGACTTAATGATTACCAATTTACCACATAACAAACAATTGCATGACATAAAAGAGCTTTATGAATTTGTATCAGGACATAAACAAAACTATTTTGGCGGGAGATTAACGGCAAAACAGAAAACCAAAAGAAAATATACCCCGGTTAAAACTAATTGAAACGAATTGGTTATTATGGGGTGAAATTTGTAAAAAGAGTACTAATACAAGGAGTTATAAGTAAAACAAGTAGCTACAATGGACAAAACACAAATGACTAGAGACGGAAGTAGAGTCACATTCAAAAGCATATTCCGTCCAAAGTATCCGGCGACGGTAATCGTCGCGTCAGCAATCACACGTGCGATCGTGCCAGCCTCCGTCGAAAGTAAACCTCCGTTATAAGTCCCTCTCGATAGCCTCGACGACATAACTCTAGAGAGTAACGATAGATTAACACCTACAAAACAGTAAAAAGTTCCGATTTTCGGGTTACATTGAGCTAAACAAAAGTTTTGGTCAATTTAAGTAATATCAATCTTTTGTTGACCTTCAAGAACTTCTGCAGAAACAAACATGATGAGTCCTGAGCAAACGTATTGTGGCACAGTGTAGGGGACAACGACATGGAAGCTGAGAAGTATTCCTACACAAACCATAATCTCCGACACCAACAAGATTTGCCTGTGACAATAAAGTTTATGACTTGAAGGAACTTCCAGGAAAAGAAATCAGTAAAACATGAGAAACTTACCGGTCTTCAAACATGTTGCTTATATAGCTTCCAACGATGAGATTAACGGGAAGAACCGTGAGACCGAGACAGAACAAAAAGATCGCAACCGAGCTAGTGGACCAACCAAAGTAGTAAGTGGTGATGACACTAGATTCAGAGAGAAGAATCTCCATTGCATACTTAAGCATGAAGTATATCAATAGTTGAACCTGAAAAACCAATCAAATCGATCATCAAAATCACAAAAATTACGTTTTCAGTTTCTCAGAAGTAATCTTTGGGTTTCTTGTTTACCTTAACTGAAGGTGTGAGTAATCTATAAGCAGCTACAATGGAGTTTGCAGGTGTACGAGAATCCTCGGAAGATTCTTCGCTTCCATCACATTCATCTTCACCCTGTTCTTCTATTTCTTCTGATGTAATCAGCAACGGCTGTTTCATACCTTTCTCCAGATTCACATCTTGAACAGCTTCTATCACTCACACCAATCACAAACCGCTACAATCAGATATCGATAACTTCTACCAAAGAGAATGATTCAGGAAATTGACATACCAGAATGATTAGACTCTTCTGAAGTCTTAGGAGGCCCCTCAGGCTCACGTGCAGGCTCACGAAACGATATAGCTAACCAGCCCAAGTATATAAGCCAAGCCACAGCCATAACCCAACCAGGCAATGTATCTTGGTTAAATGTAAGTTTATAAATCCTGAATCTGATTTGCAATAGACCAGCAAGCGCAGGACCACACGCCATTCCTAGAGCACTTGCACTAACAAAACCCGCTGAAGCCTGCATCCTGATCTTTAACGGTACACAGTCACTTATATATCTCCGGTTCACTGCTCTTGCCGATCCCAATCTGAAAAATACAGTAAGGTAAGAATAAAAGTAATCCATCAAGAACTGATACTATGAGCATTTTGAAGTCTAAAGAGACTTACCCACAGAAAAGTCTACCAATCAAGAGAACCGCTATTGAATTGAAGTCAAAAGCTAATGCATATAACAAGTTCCCAATAAAGAGGACAATGCTACTGAATATGAGTGGTTTGAAGTAGGATCTATTGGACCAGGCGCTGAAGTAAACCGAAGAGAAGAGCTGAGCTACAGCCATAGCACCAATCACAACACCGCACACCGTTGCTGCTGCACCGAGGCTCATGGAATAGTCATCTGCTGTAGGGACAATGATATATGTATTGACCATATACAGAAATGTGTTGACCAAATTCAACAAGAGAGACATGAAGTGATATCTCCCATCTTCTTCTTCCCCTTCCTCATCTTGCGGACTTGGTAACTCTTCTTGCATTATAAGCGCGTGCTGAGCCATGAAGTGTAGAAAGTTTGTTGACCGCGTTAGCCTATCCACTGCCGCTCTAATTGAGTCCACGACAGGATCTTGAAGAGGAAGAATAGGCTGATCATAAATCGATAAGTAGCTTCCTTGATTGTTTTGAAGCTCATGAAGGTTGCGAGATACAGCTCCAACAACAGCTCCAAGGCCCTATAGATCAACATTAGGATCAACTTTAAGCTTGGAAAAAGAGACATACATAGTCATTTGTTTCATCTTAAGACTTTTACTTACCACATGTCTAAAGACTTGCTGGAGTTCAGAGTAAGGATGGTTAGCTCGAGTCTTGACATAATAGTTTGTGAATCGATAACCAAACCGTTTATCGAATTTCTTCAGTATCTTACGGATACCAATAGCATTCATCTCGACAAAAAACAGAAGCTTGAGAAGATCTTGCCCAACAGCTCTATACTCCTCCTTTAGATTAGACATATGAGATATGTCCGGCTGCTCTTGGAGAGCATCATGCGGTCCCCTTAGTCTCTGTAGCCTACTTGCAAGCAATCCTTGTTGCTCCAACATGAAAAGAGCGATCTTCTCAATCTGGTACACATTCATTTTTCAAATTAGCTTTTAAAAAGGTCCACACTTTTTTCTTCAAAGACACTAAAATTTGTTACTACCTGATTATCAAGCATCCTTGAGAAATCTTTAAGAACATGACGGCGCTCAAGATTCCCGCCTTCTAATTGGCGACTATATTGCTTCACTTTCTTCTTCATCAATTTGTAATTGATGTAATATCTACAAGCAATCATGATCATT